TGATTTTCAAACTGACTAACGAAGCAACTCACAACAACAAAGGGATGTTAATGGTCCTATAATGAGACAGTGTCAACCATGTGTTGGTCCACTGCATTTATTCCGTCTTCAACACCCATCTAATCCAGAATTCCAATGGCAACACTTTTATTTGGGTAACTAAACCACGGGTTAGGAAAATTTGCTCAACTGCGCCCCCAAGTGATCCATGTAAATTAAATATAGGGGTGCTGGCAATTCTTTTCGGTACTCGGTCGGGAAAATTAATGTTACCTATGGGTTGAGTTAAAATCAGAAGATGGAACTTCAGTCATCCTGGATGGCGAACTTTCTCGCCTTGGGGTACTGACATCAGCCATTCCAAAGTCAGCATGAAGCACATCTACCCCACTCCATTCAACACCTGCTATTGTTGGAGTTAAGAATTAAACATTCACCTGTAGTACCTACTTGTCTATGTTGGATAGGAAAATAAAATGTGTGTGCATGTGCTCTTTCCCGCCTTCAGGGCTAGAGCAGATCGAAGAGCTAAAATTTCTAGAGGATACAGTCTGTCTTCCACATATCCGTAATGCTAACATCAGCATCCGATAGAAGCCAATAATCTGCATCATTCTGAAAACAAGACAAGAAGAGTAATAGTCAATTTACACATTCAACCAGGAAACAACAGACCACAATGTCATTTTCAAGTGCATAGAATTCTAGGGGGGAGAGAGAATTCAAATCATGGACCTTAACCCTCCTAAAGAGGGGGAAAAACCAGGGCTTAAAATAAATTATCAATTCCATATTACCTAAATTTCTAAAAAACTTTTGCCATGATCCACTCTCCCTGTTCATATATCCATTCTTTATAAAGCCTGGCTAGAGTAATAAATGGTCAACACGAATGGCACTTACGTCAACATCTGAAGGAACAATTCTCATCATTCCCCCAACAGACTCCTGTGAAGCATTAATGTCAGAGCCCATTTGGTGAGTTTGAGCATATGGTTCAACCTCCTTTCTGGTGCTGTCCATGTTGACCAACTCAACTTGGTTTTCATTAGAGCCAGAGCTCGAAGCAAGTGGGAGCCTCACAGGTGGCTCAACACCATTCAACTCTTCAAATTTCTCCTCAAATTGGCTGAAAAAATTGAAAAGAAAGATGAATAAGAGAAGGATATCAAGACAAGGGCCACCATTGTCCATCATCAATTAGATATAATTTCAAAAGAAAGATGGTTCATAAACATGAACAGGTAAATAGTTTAGCGTATCAAAAAGGGAACAATACCTGACTAGGTAAACATCAATGGGACCCATTGTGCTTCTGAGGATTATCCTGTATCTCCTTTGTGGGTAGTCAACAGCCTGGAACATAAAGGAGCAATACCATTATGCATTCAAAAAATGAAAGTAGAAAATAGTACTGACTCATTAGAATTTTCCAGCCATCAACTTACTTCATCAGGATCAGGTACTTCCAGAGTTGTTCCATGTGGAGCTTTAATTGCTATTAGGGTTTCATTCTGCCAAAAGCAACATTGAAAGTTTGGCTATAGTAAAACCAAGATGTTTTGGGTATCAATGTCAAATGCCGGAGATGATTGTGAAAGTATTAATTTAGTGAAACACAGAATAAACAGACCTGAAAGCAAGGTATACCCTTGATGTCTTCTTCAGTCACAAAAAGCCACCTGAAACAGTTTAAGATGAGTAAATGTATCATTGTTTGCAAACAATCAGCAGTAAACTGCTATTAATTAGATCCAAATACAAGGCAGAGGAGAAAATCTTACCTCTGATTGTTCTCATTTTCACTCAAATCCCTCAATCTTTCCTGCATTTCTCTGCAATATTTTAGAAGCATCAGCATTCCTAAATAGGTTCGAGACAGTAATTGTAACTGCTCTAACAAGAGAATAAGCCACACACAACCTTATATGATCATCTAATCTGTTTTCTTCAAAGGAAAGGTTTTCAATTTCTGCCTGCATACATAAACGGAAATTAAATCATAAGTATAGGAAAATACACAGCACAGATCACCCAACCAACAGTGATCTAACATATCTTGAAAGTCATAAACCAACATAAAGAAATAGATAAACATTCTAATGCACAATAACAGGGAAAACTGTTGCCTGGAGTCGAAGAAAAAAAAAAAAACTGATTCCTTCACACACCTGTAATATGGAGACATCACCATCTGCTTCTCCAGGCCTTGAAGCATCAACACCCCTAGTAAATTTGATTAATCCTCAAATAAGTCCCATGTTCTTTGAAGGTTAACCAGAATCACAAACCAAATTAAGACATCAAACTCTTGAAAAACGTTTAACATCATCGATAATTACTTCCAATGTATTCTATTTTTGAGCTTCTTTTCAATAAGACCAATGCCTTCCAAGACATTCGTTATGTCATATATCCTCCTCTTTTGCACCTGTTACAACATTTAGGGGGAAAAAAGACAAGAAAGAAAAGAACACTTTAAGTAACTTGATGAAACACGCAATAGTAAATAAGCTCAGTTAGCTGTATATCGTCACCTCCAATGTTTCTGCAGCCTTATTTAGGTCAAGCATACCATCTTCAGCATGCTTGATCAGATTGATGAACTTTTTCGTCAACAGACCTGAAAACTCGACCACATTATCGCTGTTCTTAACATATATAAAAGCTTTAGGAGCTACAAAAACAGCCCAACTTAAAAACAAAGAACATTATTACCTAAAGAACTGTCATAACGACAGCTGCCAGCAGGAGTAAGAGGAGATAGAGAACCTGCCAATTACATATATAATGTCAGTGGTTCTTTGTCTCCATATGATGTCTATCTATCTTGCCACATCAGAGTACTGATAATACAGCAATCACACTCATATAAATAGCTGTAAAGTAAAACATAAGTTTCCTTTGAATGGACTAAGCCTGCAGCAGGCAGTCGAAGATGAATAATAATGTGGATCAATGGACAAAGTTTCTCACCAGCATTTGACATAGGTGTTTGAGGAGTAGATTTATTGGCCTTTGAGGCCTTTGATCTATTATTTAACCTTCCTCCTTTAGCAGATACAGGTGTCTTGAAGGGGCTGTTGGATATGCTGCTAACTCCTGGACTGGAAGTCCAATGGCTAGACTCAACTTCATTTTTGTTCACTGTGCTCTTCCTTTTAAATTGCTGAGAAAAAACAAGCAGTATTTCAAAGCGGCGCTAATGGCAGGCAGAATTAAAAGTTTAACTTGAAATATTTGTATGGTTATATTTGCATTAACATCCAATTGAATTGAATTGAAAAAAAAATAGAGCCTAGGTCTAACAAAGGCAAATATGGGACAGTATATGTACAAGAAAACTTTACTGTTAGGCATCAAGAATCTTCAGAATTACTTGGCTACTTGTTTCAAAAGGTTTTTGCAAAGGCTGAAACTTATAGAGATAGATATCATGACAAAATCAAGTATGTAAAAACACTAGTGATTCACTTGTTATTAGGTGGAAGACAGAAAGATAAAGGTTTGTGTCGCAGACTAGCAGTGGTATTATACAGAAGGGATAAAGTATGCAGTCACGTCATAATCAATCATTTAACAAAGGTCCATTAATGCTGCAACATTCAAGGAATTGACAGACTCGTCAAGCTTTCTTCATAGGGCACAGCATCCTATGTTGTGCATAAGCATTGGCTTCCTCTCTGAGTATAGCAAGCAAAATTATATAAACCAGTATCCTATCACCTGCAATTATGTTTAAAATCCAAAACATCGCAAACCAAAAACCAAATCTATCAGCACATCTGACAGAAGTGATAGAACTAAAACCTATTCTTCACAAATTAAGGCATGAAAATATATAAGCCATCAATATTCAGCCATTGGGTAAGGCTGGCGTTCATCACATTCAACTTAGTTCAGCAAACGAGCACAATTAGTCTACCTAAAGCCCATCATATCATCAACTACATCGCCATAAGCCTACATGCCCTGCAAAAAGTTCACATATTAAAGTACAGGCATAAATAATTACCCTGCCGAAACAAATAAAGCTAATGACAACTTAGATTCCCCCAAGTAAATAAGCACCGAATAAGCCACCATTAAAAATATTCTCATTAAGAACAGATTAAAAAAAATCAGCAAGATTAAGCGAATTAAAATGAATACAATACTTATTGTCATAAAAACTGCAATCGAACAAAATCCAACAACAAATGCTAAATAAGAGTATAATTATCATAAACATTAACCAAAAATTTTAAAAAAGTAACATACATTAAAAATAGAACACCTACAAACACTCACCGGAGATCTCACAACAATCGCTTCAACTTCTTGATAGGCGACTGCTCCACGGGCATTACTAGCGCTGGTTAAACCGTTGTTAGGATAATTATTATTATTGTTAGAGGAAAATCTGTGATAATCATCGGGATGAACAAACGACGGCTTGGTCGAGGCGAAGGCGAGGTGGCGGCGTATCGGCGGAACAATCGAAGGACCGGCCGATGCTGGTGACGATATGGCAGACGGAGGAGGAGGTGGATGCGGCGGCGTGGGACGAGCGGAGGCGCGAGCTCCGCCGGACATGGAGGTTTTCGACTTTTGAGGGAGAGTGAGAGGGAATCGGAGAGCGAGGCGAGGGTAGAAATGGAATTGAAAAAGAGTAAGAGAGAGAAAAGGAAGGGTTAGAGAGAGAGGAGAGGAAAGTTGTGAGGGGAAGGGTTAAAGAGCAGAAAACGAGGGAAGGGAGGGAATTTTGGTTCGGATAGATGTGGAGGGAAGCGTTTTGTAGAAAATTACAATTCACGCATTAAAGTTTTTGGTTTTCCCAGTTTTGGACTCTTATCTTTTCTGTTTTTTCAATTTGACCCAAAATTTGTATTCAACTATCTTGTAACACTTGCCATATTTTCTTATTTCAGTTAAGGTTTTAAGAAATTAAGACGCCAGATCTTTCAAAATTTCTGATGTAAAAGGAAAGACTGAATTTCTTGGTATGCAATTACAACACGAAGATTGATTTTAATTTGATAAAATATCTACATTTGAGTTCTTGTCAATTCAATATCTATATATTTATAACAAAAAAATCATAAAATAATCTTCTATCATAAACAACTTTATTTTTGAAAAATTAAAATTTTGAAGGAATATGTTTCACATGTACCCTTCCTAGCTTGCATCCCTTCATTGAAATATTTTTCCAATAAGTACTTAATTCCCTTCAATTGAAACAAAATTATGGTGCTACGAGAAATGTGGGAATATCAAAAAAGAGTTGAGGCGTTTCTGCAAAACGGTAACAGAAAAACAAAGAGGATAAAATGTCAAAAGCCAAAAATGGAAATTACAAAAGAGCTGATGTACGCGCCTTTCTTTGTCACTTATTCTTCTTCACCCCTTTCTATTACCCTCTAATCAAAACCCTAAAACCTTGAACGGGACCCAAAGGCCTATCATGACATATGGCAAAATTCCAACCATCTGATCTTCTTCTGCCTCCAATTTTTAACAGATTAATACATTTAATTTTGAACAATGCTATAGGAGGTGACCTTAATCTTATTCCCTAAACCATATGGTTCGAATTTGAAATCTTCAAATAGTCCAATTGATCAGCTTACAACTTTAGCTCTTGTTACAATCTTGGCCATATGGCATGGGCCTCTGCCTATTCACAACTGAAGGAAAAAGGAAAAGAAGGTTGTAAGGGTGTATTGTAACAATGGCCATCAAGAAAATATAATTATACAAAAAAAAAAAAGTGTTGCAATCCGTGTTGTTTCTTCTTTGTTAAAATGTGTTTAGTCAGCACCATGCAGTTCAAAATTGTTGTTTGAACATTGATTTTTTGAGTTTCAGATTTAAACAATATTTTTAATGGCATTGCAATGTTTTACTTTGTCATATTTTTATTAAAATAGTGATAAAATAAATATCATGTCAATTAAATTTGAGATATTTTGAATATATAAATATAACAAAGCTTCTCTAATTGTTATGAATTGACTTAACATGATACGAGAGCAAGCATTATTCATGGTCATTGATGCCTTTTGATAGACTTGTATGTTATATTTGATATCCAATCCACAAGATAACTCGGCCTAAGACCTATCTATTGAGCTTTATTTTTCTTCTCCAAGTACACCTTTTCTTCCACATTTGAATTTTTCTTTTTTTTTCAACACATTTTTTTTTCACAATTTCACATTTCACACCCCAAGCTTATTTTCTTCATATTGTAGATAGTGGGGTTATTTTTCATATTTTAAATTTTTTTTTGCACATCAACATCACCTTTCCACCTTTTTCAACACTTAGTTCAATCTAAATTTCCTAAAATAATATACATGCTTAGGAGTGAGGGTTGCAAATTTAAAAAATTAATTTTAAGACTAAGCTTAATTATTATGTAGTTAAATAAAGAAAAGAGAAATTAGGCTAAAAAGGGATATACTAAGGATAAAAACTTAACAAGGTAGGCTTTTTAGGCTCAAATGGTCCAAAAATGGCCTAAAACATCTTCCTAACTAAATATTGCCAAGGATTTTGCCTCAAGAGAAAATCAAGCAAATTCTAGAATTCATGACGTAATCTAAATTCACATCAATATAAACCTTCTCTAAATATTTATAATAATTCAAAGCAAAAGATATAGTGCTCAAAATTGTGAAAATTACATCCTAACAATGATACTTAACAAAAAGCTTTGGCATGAATCCAAACAAAAACCATTTTCACTAAAAGATAAGAATTCAAGACAACTAATTATCATCGTTGGATAGAGAAATCATTGAAAAAATTGGCATAACTTTAATCTAGATTCTTAAAATTCTAACAAATAATAAATTCATTTGCCACTTAATCTTAAATTATTTATAAATCTAAATACGCATGCAAATAAAACTAAATCTAAAACTTTCACAAAATATTTATCACCAAAAAAATAAATTCACCTCCCAAACATAAACTAAATATTATCCTCAATGTTAGAAAAAATAAAAGAAAGGTAAAGAATACTCCCTAATGGTTAGATGAATCTAGAGAAGCTCTAATCCTCCTTCTTGTCACCATCATCCTCTACATCATTGTCTTCATTGTCCTTCACCTCATTGGCACCCCTTGGAAGATTAGGTGCTGGTGGAAGAGTAGACATGTCTATGCCCATAAAAGCACTATAAGCTTGAAACATGTGGTCCATAAGTTGATTACATTGGGTCTGATAAGTCATGCGTTGCTTAAATTGTTGCCTAAGGTTTTCAACTAGGTGCTCAAGGTTCTCAATTCTCTAGTTCATTGACAGTTGTTGGTGTCTTGGTCAAGGGGTAGAGGCTGGTGTGTAGAAGAAGAACTAACTCCAGTAGAATTTTGAGATTGTCAAAGGATGATATTGAGATCAATTAGAAGTTGAGGGTGTAATGACTCCTCACTATCATCCTAAGTCACACCAGCTTGCTTGCACAAAGTTGTAATCAAATAAGAGAACCACAAGCCTTCATGCTTTGATTGTGCAGTGTGAGTCATAGCTTTGTAAATTACACGACAAATATCAATTATGCATCTAGTTATGATGGAATGACTAAGGATGGCTCAATCTTTTGTGACGTCATTGAGATGAGTAGTAAGGAGTAATTTGGAAGCCACAAAGTATAACCATATCTCAGAAGTTGGTTTTATCACAGACCTCTTGAATGAAACTGATGCATTATTGAAGAATTGCCATTGAGCACCCTCCTCACAGAGTATATGAAAGATATCATCTCGATCCTCATGCTCAGCCAAATATTGCCCATAGCTATCATTGTCAATATCAAGAGTTTCATAAAATTCATTGATGGCATGGCTTGAGAATGGAACTAATTTACCTCACACAAAAATGAAATCATTAGTAGCCTTAACAGCGTTTACGTAAAATTCTCTTACTGGAGGGATATTTACAACTGCTGGCAAGGCACAAAATTTTTGTCTTCTCATTAAAATAATACCCATAGTATTAAGTAAAAAGCTCGCAATTATAATATTTCTAGACTACCAGGCATATAAAAAGAATTTAAAATCTAGAACTTACCCATATTCCCCAATTTCGACTTATCCTTGAAATTTAAAGCACAAATCTAAACAATCTACCATACCCATAAAATAGTTAAACACAATACCTCAAGAATCATCAATACCCATCACAAATTTCCAACAACATAAAAATATGAAGCAAGTCAACAATAATAAAAATAAAAGAAGAAAAGAGAAAAGAAAAGAAATAGTAAAGAAGAAAAATAAATAAATAAAAGAAACATTGAAACTTGATATTTAGAGCAAATATGTTAGAAATATGTTTGGGTAATAGGTATAGAGGTGATAACTCTATAATATAGATTTATTTGAGCTTAATTTTGATAGTAATTTAGCTTAGTTCTTGTAGTGATGTATAGAAATTAGTATATTTTATTTACATTAATTTAAATTAGTTAATTTAGGTTAGTCAATCTAATCTTAGTTAATTTTATGCTTAATTTGGTGTTAATGTGGTTAAGATAGGTGGTTGTTGATTTATTTGTACTTTTGTAGGTGTTTGATGAAAGAAGAATTTTAATGGGAAAAGAAGAGTGATTTTAAGGTGTAGACTTTCACTGCACATGTTTCAGTATTAGAGTTATAAGTCTCTCTATAGAGCTCCAAATGAAGTGATTCTTAGACCATTGAAAAATTAAGAGAAAACGTTATAACTTTTATGTTTATCACTGGCTCAATTTGGGCTAGAAAGTGATAAAAATCTTGTTGAATTTGATCCATTGTAGCAATCCTAGAACAATCACGATTTCTGTTAATTAATTAGGCAAGGTTGTGACCCACATAGTCTGATGAGGAAATCCTAACTGAAATTGACTTCTTTCTTCACCCAACTTGGCCTACTTTCAAAGCTCTATAAAACAACATTTCGAAGGACTTTGAGAAAAGAACGAAACACTAGATTGACAACTGAGAGTCAAGCCACAAAGTCATTAAAATTAAGAAGAATTTGAAAGATTCAAGGAGATTTGGAGATCAAGAATACAATTCTTGAGTTTTTCTATCTTTTTTATTCTCTTATTCTCTTGGTTTTGTTTTTAATGTTTAAACTTTATTCAACGATGATGTGTAACTTGATAGGGAACTAAACTTTTAATTTAAGATTATGATTAAACTCAATATGTAGTCTGAATTGTTTATCTCTCTTTTATTTAGGTTTGATGGATTTAAGTTGTTTATTTTATTTTATTCTTAATGCTTCTAATTGCTTGATCACCAATTATATTGAATTGGAAACGTAAGTTTAACCTTGACGAAGGAAATTTAGGTAGACTTTAAATAGAATAGCGTATGACCGAATGCATTTAGTTGATTAAGTGGTTTGATTTGCATATAGGGTAAACATACACCATACGTAGCCAAAATTAGAGCACAAACTTAATGAATCTTTCTTCAATTTAATTTGCATAGACATATAGTAAAATTAATTAGAAGAGGTATTTTTATGAGAAATTCGACAGAAACTTGTAAATAATTTAAGACTTTAGGTTAGCAACTTAATCCATTAAACTAAGTTGAGAAAGAGAGACAATAATTAGATGAAGTATTGAGGGGCATCATAATCTTAGGTATGGTAGTTAAATGAGTTTCATAAAATAAATTTACTATTTAATTTTAGTTTCAGTTTATTATTTTTAATTTTTCTTTTTAATAATTTTAAATTTAATTGTTTTGATAAGATTAAGTTGTTACAATTTTGGTAGTTAGTAATTAAGAATTAATTCAATTCTCTGTGGGAATAAATTCTATTTAGTATTATATTATTTGTTAACAATATGTGTCCTTTCGTGAGAAATCAACAACAAGAGGAATAAAGATGAAAGGGGGATAATGGTGAGTGGAAGAGTAGAGGAGAGACGGAGAGTAATGTGTAGAAAATTACTCTTAGGAGTGAGGTAGGTGTGTTGGAGTGAAAAAAGAGAAGGCCTTATATGGGAGGTGAAGGAAGTTGATTTGGGTAGTGGGCTACCCATTATTGGTAGCCCACATAAAGGGGGGCCATGGCCCACATTATAGAAAGTCGCGTGGTTATGTCCTTGCTATGGGAGCGTCGTTGTTTGTGTTCTAGCAAGTCGTCGGGTCGTGCCCTCAAATTTTTTTTAATGGTGGGCTATTTAACATTGATAGCCCACAAAACCCCTAGTGGGCGTTGTGGCTCACATTGTTGAAATTCGTGAGGTCGCGACCTTGTTTTTGTTCTCATTAAGCTGCGACTTACCCTTTCCACCATTTTTTTTTTGAAATTTTTTTGAGTTTTTTTATTTGTGAAGGGGTTGTACATACTTGCAAAATAAAAATAAATTGTTAATAATTGAATAAATAAAAACAATTAAAAGAAAATTAAAGGAAATAATTAGAGTGCTTAAGTTGTCTCCTAAGAAGCGTTTTTTTATAGTTAATAGCTTGGTTATTTCTGACTCAAATTGAGTCGATAAGGGTGATTGAGGATATTTGACGATCACAATCACCACCCCAATAGTGCTTTAATCATTGCCTATTCACCTTGAAGGTTGATTTATCATTAGCCACCTCTACTGCTCAACAAGGATATACTTTCAACACAATGAAAGGTCCAAACCAACGAGATTTCAACTTTCCAAGAAATAATCTCAAACGAGAATTATAAAGAACAACATGTTGGCTAGGCTCAAAACTTCTCTTTATGATTTTCTAGTCATGCCATCATTTTGTCTTCTTTGTGTAGATTTTTGTACTATCGTAAGTTTCTCGACGAAATTCATCCATCTCAATGAGTTGCAAAAGATGCTTTTGTCTAACTGCTTAAAATCAAAATTAAGCTTTTTAATTGCCCAATATGCCTTATGTTCAAGCTCCACTGGAAGATGACAAGATTTTTCAAACACCAATCTATAAGGAAACATCCTAATTGGAGTTTTATATGCAGTCCTATATGCCCACAAAGCATCATCTAACTTTTTCAACCAATCTTTTCTATAAGGATAAACAATTTTTTCTAAAATTCTTTTAATTTCTTGATTTGGAACTTAAGTTTAACTTAGGTTTCTAATTTAATCTAATTGACGGCTAGTCAACTAGAAATATTAAAAACAGAATAAAATAAATAACTTAAATCCATAAAACATAAGCAAAAGAGAAATAAATAAATCAGACTACGTATTGAGTTCAATCATAATCTTAGATAAATGAATTAGTTCCTCATCAAGTGTCACATCATCATCAAATAAGGTTTAAACATTAAAAACAAAATCAAGAAAATAAGAGAATAATAAAAAGATAGAAAAAACCAAAACTTGTAATCTTGATCTCTAAATCTCCTTGGATCCTTCAAATTCTTTTTAACTTCAATGACTTTGCGGCTTGATTCTTAGCTTTCAATCTGATGTTTCGTGATATCCTAAAAGTCTTCCAAAAGGTTATTTTTGTAAAGCTTTAAAGTTAGGCCAAGTTGGGTGAAGAAAGATGTCAATTCTAATTAGGATTTCCTCATCATACTACATGGGCTGTAGACTATCTCCTCCAAAGCCGCAGCCTTGATAATTTAAGTAGCAGAAATCGTAATTGTTCAAGGGCTACTATAGTTCTCCAAGTTAGACAAGATTTTTTACCACTTTCCAAGCTAAATTGGGTACAATGGTAAACATGAAAATTGTAGCTTTTTCTTTTAGCTTTTTAATGGTCCAAGATCATTTCATTTGGAACTCTGTAGAGAGAGTTATGGTTGAAATACAGAAACATGTGCAGTGGAAGTCTACACCTCAAAATGCTCTATTTCTTCTATTAAAATTTTTCCTTCATTAAACACTCACAAAAGCACAAATAAATCAACAACCTATCTTAATCACATTAACACCAAATTAAGTATAAAATTAACTAAAATTAGATTGACTCACCTAAATTAATTAACCTAAATTAATTTAAATAAAACTTACTAATTTCTATGCATTACTACAAGAACTGAGCTAAATTAGTATCAAAATTAAGTCCAAATAACTCTATATCATAGAGTTATCAAAACTCAAAAAGGTTTTATCTTTGTAACAATTTATCTAAACATATACTTGTATTATAAATATATTGAACTAAATGCAAATGAGTAGGCCTTATTTTCATCTTCAATATTATTTTTATTCATATCTTTTCATATGGTATCAAAGCCCTAAGCTCCATTGAATACAACTAAACAACCCATAGCCTCATCAAACTTCAAGCACAACCTCATTTCCTATAGTTTCTTCAAATCTCACCTTTATCTACTCAAACTAGCAAGTACCATTAATGCAACATCTCATTTTCCTATTGAACCCACTCCCTTCAATTTCCATTAATATAGCAACCTATCTTACTTTTATTCATCTCTTTTTGAATAACTTACCAACGAGTTTTATGTATCTAGTAGCATCTACTAGCTGACCTTCATCTGGTCAGTTTACAATTATAGTTTATCAAAGTACTTTTTAGTTTTGTGCCCAACATACCATACTTAAACAATAACTCTAGAGTGTACTTCCTTTGACACAATGAAATACCTTAAGTAAATCTTGCAATTTCAATACCAAGGAAAAATTTTAACTTGCTAAGATCTTTTAGTTTAAAACTGTCACCAAACAACTGTTTTACTCTATCAAAAATTGCAACTAATGAACTTGTTATCAAGATGTCATCAACTAATAATGTCATAGATTCATTATTCTTTGTCTTAGTAAATGGAGAGTAATCAACTTTAGATTGAATAAATTTATACCTCAATAAAGCTTCAGTGAATTAGAGTTCCATTATCTTAAAGTCTGCTTCAAATCATACAAAAATTTTTGTAATTTGCATACAAGTTTGCAACCTAGTGAAGATTTATACTCACCTTGAAGTTCATATCCTTGAGGCAAGCCCATGAATACCTCTTCATCTAAGTCACCGTGGAGGAATGCATTGTCGATGTCTAATTGCCTTAAGAACTAACCTTTAGCAATAGATATGGCCAAAAGAACTTTGACATTAGTTTGCTTAGTAATTGGGCTAAAAGTCTCCTAGTAATCAAATCCCTTTCACTGATTATAACCCTTGGCCCTTGCTTTATAACTTATGCTGCCATGAGAATTAAGTTTCACCTTGTATGCCCATTTACACCTCACTACATGAGTATATCTTGATAGGGGTATTATTATCCAAGTCTTATTTTTTGCTAAAGCAATCAATTCAACTTGCATATCTTCCTTTCAATGATCATATCTGATGGCTTGTTGATAAGTTTAAATTAAAAAAATGTTGGTAAGTGAAATGGTCAAGGCTTTTATGAGATTGTGATAATTGTGAAGTAGATAAGTGTTGTTGAACGAAAATAGCAATAACTAATTTTGTTTGAGAAAGCAATTGACATTGATAAACGTCAAAATATTTAGGAGGGTTTCTTAATCTAGTACTTTTTTGTAAATAAGGTAGGTGATGGATTAGAATAAAAGGAATGTGAAGAATTTGTAGTTTCATTAGAAGCAATGTTTAAGGTTGTATTAATGTCGTCAAAAAAATTATCAAATGATCCTTTATTTGGTAAATAAGTGGTAGGATGAGAATTATTGTTACGCATAAGATCAAAAATATCAAAATATAGATAGTTAGAAATATTAAAATGATCAGAATGATGAAATGCATTTATATAAGAATCACAATGATAAGGAAAAATGGTTTCATGAAAAATAATATCTTAAAAGTAAATGACTATTTTACCCTCAAATCATATACTTTTATATCCATTAATGCCAATTGGATATCCAGGAAAAATGTATTTTCTTGGTCTAGGATCAACTCTTTCTGTTACAAGACAATGTGGAAGCATAACAAAACGGTCTAAAGACTTTGAGATGTGAAAAAGGACATTTTTGGTGTTTTGTTTTTCAAAATAGATGTTGGTATCCTATTTATCAAGTGGGCAGCTACTAGAATAGCATCATCTCAAAATTTTGAGGATAATTTGGATCGAAATATTACAGATTTTGCCACCATCGATAAATGTTGATGTTTCCTTTTCACTACTCCATTTGATTGAGAAGTTTCTATACATAAAAGATGATGTACAATTCCATTTGCAGAATAGAACCCCATCAAAAAAAATTTATGAGATGGAGGATATAAAACTTGGCCCAAAAATCCTAGGAGTCCAGTCTGAATGTAGGTCCAAGTCCACCTCCCTCGTAGCCGAAAGAAACATGTAACCCATTTTTGTCCAAACTTCATGAACCCTCTTTAGATTTCAGATAGCAATCTGGCTGACAATCTTCAAGTCATAAAATTTTTGGAGCCTTATCCTGTTAATCGTCCCCCTTTCTCTCTCGGTCTGTCTCTTCCCCCTCCTTTATTCTCCCCTCACCAGAAAAACAAGCGCCACCCTCAAAACCCGACAATGTAGACCAACACAATGCAAGACACACTCCCTTTCCTCTCCAAAAACAACCCTTTCCCTCCCTTACTGTCCTCCCCCCACCACCACCACCATAAACACCATGATTTTCCTTCACTTTCTCGCCCAAGAAACCTCCACTTCCCCACTTTTTCTTCCAAAACAATCACTAGTCCTCTCCCTCCCAAACCACCCAAAATCCCAGAAATCCCTTCCATATCCCCACCCCCAAGCTCCCACTCCGACTTCCAAGAAAAAATGCTTCACCTTGACTCCATCGGTCTTGATTTTTTCTCCCTAATCCAACACCACCCTCCCATCATAACCACCTCTCTCGATGATCTAAAATCAGCGGTTGATTTTCTCACCTCCTTCAACTTCACTACGCTCGAGCTACGGCGAATCCTCTCCATGTGTCCTGAAATCCTAACCACCAAACCAACTTCGCTGCTCCCAATCTTCACTTTCCTCCTCCGCGAAGCCCGCGTCAACGGCTCTGATTTAAAGAAAGTAATCAACCGACGACCCAGATTGCTCACATGCAACGTGGAAACCCAGCTGCGTCCCACCCTCTATTTCCTTCAAAACATCGGCATCTCCGAGGTAAAAAAACACACTTCCTTACTCTCTTGCAGCGTGGAAAACAAACTGATTCCTCGTATCGAGTACTTCCAAAAAATGGGGTTCTCTTACAGGCACGCGATTTCGATGTTCCGTAGATTTCCTCAACTGTTTAATTACAGTGTTAAGGAAAATTACGAGCCGAAATTGAATTATTTCGTGGTGGAAATGGGGAGAGATTTGAAAGAACTTAAAGAGTTTCCGCAGTATTTTTCGTTTAGCTTGGAGAATAGGATAAAGCCAAGGCACCAATGTTGTATTGAAAAAGGGGTCTGTTTTCCTTTGCCTGTTTTGTTAAGGACAAGTGAAGTTGAGTTTCGTAATAGACTGGAGGTCTGTTGTAATTCTTCGTTGCCGTTTAAGGGGTCTCCTTTGTGGTGTTCAAAAAATTGTGATATCGAATAGTATATGATTCAGTATACTGTAAAAAAGAATGAACTGATTTTTACTCATCTTTCGTTTTTGTTGTTTTTCTTTCTACAATCATGTGAAAATTTGGTGACTGGAACCTGAATTAATATGGGTTTTACATGGCTCCATTTAGTAGATTGAGATGAAGATGTAAAGCCCTGAGTAAATTCAAATCGAGTAGACAAAATGGATGATGACATTTTCTGAATAGTTCATGAGTATTGAAATGGTTCATTAGAGGGCATTATTGGCTTAGTTGTTCTCCTAGTTCTGTGAGGTTTATGGAACTCAGGGTAATGCTAATTCTATTTGAATATTTGTTGGTTATTTCATTTGCTTCAGGCTTTTCATTTAAGGAACAGAGAGAGTTTGCATTGGTTGAGATTCCTTCCCACCTCCCTTTTAGTTTCTTCTGTATTCCGTCTGGGGTCCCTTCTTTCCAGAGCATTTTTAGATAACATGTTCTCTGTATATTCTGTGGGCTTTGATTGACCAAGGAGATAACAAGCTACTTTGATCATTTATATTATGGAGGTTTATAGTACAATTTCTGTCACTTTTCTCCTATACCGTTCTTATCACTGTTTTTCCATATGCTGTAGTCAAGTCACCTGGAGATGAACTGAGGGGATGTTCAGTTCTCTATGTCAGTAAATGTAAGTCTTGCTTAAGTTCTCTGTGTTACCTGAAATCAAGTTATATCCCTGCTGAATTCTGAGTCAGTTATGATGGCTGGCCTAGGTTTTGACATGATAATTACCAAGGCATTCGATTATATTAATAGATAGTTCAAGTATCAGCTAAGTTGGAACCATGCCTCAGCAAACAACTTTTGTTTTCTTCCATTATGGACTTGAAAGTACTGTCCTCCCCTTCCTGAAGCATCATTTCTCCTGTCATTGGTATCTATGAAATTAAGATGGTTTTATAGTTGTTCGTAGCAGCATTTAGTTGAAGTTGAAAGATTGTGTCGACACTTGGTCTTTGACCCCTATCTAATTCTTGGTTGGAAGGAGGATGAGAACTGAGACAGTAAAAGAGATAATAATAATAATAAACCTTTGGTGTATAATCCTATTAAGCAAGCTTGTTTGTGGGCTGTGGCCATGCTGGATTGTTCACTTGCATTTTCAGTGGCCTAATCCATGCCTTTGGACAAATGGCAGAAAGACTCCTCAGCTCATTTTCAATGGGATAGTGCAGTAATCCACCTTGTTGGCAGGCCAAGAGACTCATGGACATTGCTAGAGCATAAAGGGTTTTACCTTTAGTCGAAGCATATGAAGGGCTGGATGTATTTGTAAAGCTTAAACAAGCTCACTTCTAATACCATCAGTCTATACAAACTTTTGCAATACTTTTTTCCCTGTAGACATGATTAATTGCTTATGAAATTAATAATGCAATAATTCTGGACATCTTTAATTGCTTCAAACGCCATGGAACTTGATGCATTATACTCTTGAGAAAATGTTTTAGCATTAAAGAATTATTAGCGACCAACAAAAGCCTAATCCCCTAGTCTCTGGCACTGGTGAGATCCGTTGTCAGAGGTTCAAGCTCATGGATCAATACAATGACCGGAAGACCGGCGAAGCCGAAGCTACGATAGCCTCCCCTGCCTCACTTCTTACCAGACCCATCACCATTAAGAATATCGCTGGTTTTGTTGGGCGTTTTCAGTTTTCCCACTTAGTTTTCGATCCAAACAAACCAGTATTTCATCCCGATCTGACAGTGGCTGGAAAAGCAGTTTCCCTTATCCTACTTCCTCACTGCTATGACATTTCAGAAGAATCCTGCTATCATTTTAACATTCTAAGTTTCCGAGAACATTTCACTTATAATTATTGCATTACAAGTTTCCAATCACAATTATGAATTTCTACCCTCAAAAGTAATCAGTGGAAGACTGGGAGTTGATGCCTCCTTCACGGAAACTTGCAGTCTAAGAAGTTGCTGATCACGGCCTGATATTTGATGCCACAAGTGCAAGAAGCAATTTTTAAGAAAAACTAACGTCGCCAAAGGCTTTGAAGATTCAACAAAAAACATATACTTAAAAACTATATAAAGAGACCACTGGCAATGGACCAAAGAATAAAAATGAATTACCACATGAAGTAACAAATAAATACTAGTAGTACCATATCAGAGTAGCATAGAAAAGAAACAGAACAAGAAGGATATGGGCCATAACCCAGAACGGGGTCTAATGCCCTGAAGCAAAAGCTTGTTCTCAGCTTCATTGTCATTTGTGAGATCCTTGGTCAATGCTGTAACCACCAGCCTCCCCCGGAGATACTCTCTAGTTCCCTACCAGATCCTCCACGATTACCTTCACTTCATCCCGATTACGCCTGATGTCCAAAATACACCTGAGACTGCTATATAATCCAAACAATGTTGCAGCTGTGCAAAGTCCATTTGCTTTGCTTAAATGCAGAGGCGCAGACATGCAAGCAGCTAGTAAGAAACTGGGTATAGATGCAGCTTGTCCCTTCAGCACTGGTGTTCCGTAGCCTGCAACGGCCACTCCAGTTTTACAGTAGATGGCAAATTCTTCACTGTTATTCATGAATAGTTTATAGCTATTGGTTGCATAATCAAGCAAGTACTTTGCCCGATGAACAACCACATCAGCTGAGTCAGAGACTGCCCGAGTACATGTTCCACCGCATACTTTCACAATAAAGAGAGCATTATTAACACCATATTCATACCGGCGCAAGACTCTACCACCTAGGAAGCAGTTGAGGCAAGAGCTGATGATCCCATCTCGTTTTGTTTGAGTGCAGGAAGGGCAGGATTGTTGAGATTGTGCTAGCATTGATACATTCAGGGGAAGATCCAGCAAACTTCCTCTTCCTTCTGAACAACATCTCAATAAATGAATGACTTTGTCATCTCCTACATAGATGCCTGCTTATTCATTTGCACATATATAGAGAAAAAGATCAAATAACTAAGAGTGCTAGTCAACTTTTCAATAGAACCAAAGTTCAACAGACTGAAATAGCAGTAAAATTAAGGCTCAGAGTTGAGGGTGGAAGGGGGAGATAAGAAGTTAACTAATCTACCTGACAAAATGATCTAATTTTTATTGTTGCAATCACCAATAAAAGGAAATGAAGGTTCTAGTGAAGGTGGCAATGCATCGGGTTGTTGCAACCAAATCCTCGTTCAACAAAGAATTATAGCCATTGCTGAACTATGAATTAATAAGGATCAGGAATCAACACAATTGTAAAACCTATATATGAATCTTAAATTCCAATTTTAACAAATGCCTCGTAACTATAGATGTGGAAGAATCTGAAGACCAAACATTTTTCCTTGACGCCACATTTTTTTTTGAAAACAAAGAAGAAAGATCTATTAATTCTGGACTACTAAAGGTGACTGAACATGATTCTATCTAAAAAGCTGAGATCCATACTGGAAACATAAAAAGTGGGTAAAGTGCAAACAGACTATACCATGATCAGCATAGAGAAAGCCTATCCTCCAACAGTAAATATGGTCACCAGGTTTTAGACTCTCCTTATTGATTCTGCATTCATTAAAACAACATCTTTCAATGTTGTCCAAACAAAATAAAAGCCACGGCAGCAGATATACCTGTGGGTTAGCATCCCCATCTGTTGTTCTTCCTTGGACAATTCTTCCTGGATCCCCCTTTTGTTCTACCACTGGCATTTATTGGAAATTATTTGGGATGAGAAATTGATGGATGTCTTCGGGTTGGGCAAAGTTATTACTAATCGGGCTGTACTTGACATGCAATCCCAATTTTAGTTTGATCCAACAGATTAAATGTGTAAGATAAGAATGAATTGTAGATTTGAATTGATACTACAATATCCATAACTTTTACTTAGCTTGATGGGCTTAAATTGACTGCCAGCCCACAAAATTTGTTTGCCATTCTTTTTAATTTGGATTTTGTAGAGGGGTTCATGTGATAAGATTAGAGAAAGTATTGTAAATAAGTAAAAGAATTTAGTACAGGTCGTAGAGAGAAAGAATAGAATAATCTTTGAAGTATTAAATGTTATGGTAGGTGAAAAGAATAGGTGAGTAGTAAAAGAAGAATATTGCTTTTGAAGTTTTTCCTCCCAAAAAAGTTTTGAGTGGAAAAGACTAATGAAGTTCCTTCTATTCTAAAAAAATTGAGAAGACAAAGCTAATAGAGAAAGAAGAGAAGATCACTTTTGCGAAAACGTTCTCCCCAGGCAAGTTGATGAACATCTTCTTGAACCTATTGGATATTATTGGAATCACTTATTCTTTAAAGCACATTCTCATAAAAGACTTTAAATTTCAAAGCAATCAGTTTTGAAGTTGAAGTTTAAGTGTAGTGTGTTTTCATTTTTCATTACTAAATTTGGCTCTAATTCTCAATTTGTTCATGATTAAGACGAATGGGCAAATAAAGAGTTGAAGAATCTTGCTTATGTTAAAATCCTCTCATCTACGGGAGTGCTCGATATTGTGCGGGTCACCTCCAAATTTAACATCCATAAAGAGAAAAGGATGGATATATGGTATGCTATTCTCATAAAGTGGAGCACATTTTCTCATACTATTATTATAGCATAAGGGGAATTTACTTTCACATTGAAGGATGTATGTATTCTTTGAGAACTTCCTTATATGGGAAAGAATAATTTTCATTCTATCAATCTTTTATAAAAATAAGTGTGCTCGAAAATTTATTTTCATAATCTTCTTAAAAGCTTTAGTAGAATTTCAAAGGTTGCACAGTTCTCCAATTGGATAAGACTATTTTATAAGAAGTTTAACACCAAAGGAGTTGATAGTAGCCTTCATGAATACCTAAACCATGAGAATGAGCACCACTTTGTTAATCTTATGGTTGGCTTGACATGTATTTCTCAGGTGTCCAGATGATGAGATCTCTTCAATAATCATTCCTTTCTACAATGAAAATTGCTAAGAAAACAAGATTTCCTTTTACTCCACTATATCTAGAATGTCTATGTAAAAGGCTAAACTTGTGTCAACTCAAGATTGTGGAATCAACTGGGCATCACAAATCTTAACTTATGTAGATGCTTCCTTCATCTAGACGTGTTTACGAAAAAGGCTTAGTATTTGCACTCTTGTGCCTAATATATATATATCCTTATATATCTTTTTCTATGTATAGCACTTTATCCTTGAATAACTATTGAGCTTGGGCATGACATGGTTAGACTTCAAAGGGTAATATTCTTGAAGTGATAAATGTGGCAAAAGAATTCAATCCTAAACCTTGTGTACAACCTAATAATGGATTTAGTGATATTAAGATTTATTAAAATTGCCACCCATTACATTTTGGAAGAATGAGCTCACAAGAAGTTAACTTTTTTGTATGGATTCATAGTTCCCAATTGGCTTTTATAATTAAGAGTGTTAGTCCAAGTGAAGACAAAGACTTACTCCTTCTCGAAGTGTATTCACCTTATAAAGTGGCACACTAATTAAGATATGACTATCTAGCTCTGCTTAACCCTTCTTCATTTGTCAATTTTTCTTCTTTTTTTCTTCATTTCTCATGGCAAGATTTCAACTTGATTTAGATAAACTTAAAAGTTGTCTAGTTTTAACTTTTAATAAAGATGGTATTCATACTTTTTGATGGTTTGCTTACTAAAGAAACTATGTAAAGGGATGAAGATCTTTTGTTGTGCCACTAGTTAATCCCAATGATAGTCTTCACACCACTCATGTTAGTAACAAGGACATATCTTTGCACTTGATTCCTCTTAGAAAGAAGAGAGATGTAAATGAAAAAAGAGATAAAGAAAAACCTATAACTCGTGCTGTTCCTTTAGCTTCTATTCGTCAAACCAAAAAGAAACATATGTATCAAAAAGTATGTTTACCGTTTGTTTTTTATTTGTTTTACCACTATATTCATTTCCTCAATTTTCTTTTCTATTTTTGTTTAGAAGGAATCAACTATTTTTGAAACGAGGATTGTTCTTGCTCTGGAAGTTGCTCAAGTTACAATTAGTCTTAATACTAAGATTATTCTTGATGTTAAAGTTATTCCAAATGCTAAAGTTGTTCCTTATGTTGAGCTTATTCTTGATGTTAATATTGGTCTCAATCCTCATGCTTCCTTTTTCTCAAGGCTAGAGCATAGAGATGTTAATAATGCTTTCAACACTCATGTAGAACATACTAAGCAAAGTGATATGAAAGTTGACTTCCAAGACTTTCAAGTTTCATTTTAGCATGTAGAATATTTAAAGCGTATTTATAGTATAGAGGGGGAGTTTTGAAGTACATGAACTTTGAAGAGCATAGATGTCATTTCTTCCATATAAAGATCTTAGGTAAAGCTTTAGTGATTATCCATATTCCATGGATCAGCTCTTCACTAGAGAAACTAAAACTGATGTTATAGTTTATAGATGATGTTTGTAACATTGAATTCAAACTTAAGTGCCTTAATGATTGTATGTTTAGAGCTAGAGTATTTTTTTTAAGTAGAAGTTCCCAAGTCTTTGTTGGAGGCTAAGTTAGAAGATGTTGTGGCAAATATGGCTTCACTGAGAAATCATGAGGTCAAAATGCAAGACAAATTAGATGCCTTTACCAATATTATGAATATTGACTCTTCTCAACGAGATCACATAATTGGCTAGGCTTTTTTGCTATTGCTTTAATTTACCTTTTTTTTTATCTTGTAAGATCACATGAGCTAGCACTTCACTAGTTATATATCTGATCTCATTTTTTTTTGTTTTTGCAATAATAATGTTATAGTTATATGCATGTTGCGTATTATTCACATTTTACATTGTTGTATGCAGTTGAATGGGAACTCTCAATTTGACATCATGGAGATTAATTTTAAACATGATGTGAAGGAGATTGTTCTTACTCCACAAAACTATTTAAGCTAAGGCTTTTCTTGACATTGAGGCTAATTGTAATGTTGAGGTTATTCTTGATGATAAAGTTGTTACTAATAATGCTAAAGTTATCCCTTATGTTGACATTATTCTTGATGCTGATCCTAATCTTCATGTTTTTTCTTCCCCAGTGCTAGGGTATAGAGATGTTAATAGTGCTTCCAATACTCATGTAGCACATGCTAAGTAAAGTGGTATGAAAGTCGACTTCCATAACTTTCAAGTTTCATTATAGCATTTAGAATATTTAGAATGTATTTATAGTATATACAGAAAGTTTTGGAGTCCTTACACTTTTAAGAGCATAGATGCCTTTTTTATATATGATGAAGATATTAGGTAAAGTTTTCTTGATTGCTTATATTCCATGGATAAGTTCTTCACTAGAGAAACTAAAATTAATGTTACAGTTTATAGATGATGTCTGTAATGTTGAATTCAGACTTAAGTACCTCAATGATTGTATGTATAGAGTTAGAGCTTTTCCTAAAGTAGAGGCTGACAAGTCTTTGTTAGAAGCTGAGCTAAAAAAGATATTGAAGTGGAGATGGCTTCATAGAGAAATCATGAAGTAGAGGTGCAAGGAAAATTAGATAACTTTGATAATATTAAGAATATTAACTCTTTTTCATGAGATCGCGTAGTTTGCTAAGCTTTCATTGTTTCTTTAATCTACTTTTTTTATATCTTGTAAGTTCACCCGAATTAGAACTTCGCTATTGATATATCATATCTTAATTTTTTTAGCTACTTCTTTTCCAACAATTGCCAATACTAAAAATTCGAATTTCATTATAGAATGTGTAATACAAGTTTGCTTTTTAAATGCCCAACTAATGGCACCACTTTCCAACGTAAAAATCCATCTTAATGTAGATTTATTTTCATCAATACTAGTTGTCCAACTAGCATTAGAAAATCTTTCTAAAGAACTAAGCAAATCATCATAACAAATTCCCAAATATTTGATTTTCTTTAAATATCCAAGTACTCTAGTAATAACCTTCCAATGATTTTTGCTAGATTTAACTATAAACCTTAAAAGTTTGCAAACAGCAAGTGCCATATTTGATCTAGTACAATGTTCAGCATATATTATGTTGCCTATGGCACTTACATATACTAATTGTGTCATAACTCTTCCACAATTCTTAATCAATTTTATACCAGACCAATAAAGAGTATTATACTCTTTAATTTCCAAATAACTAAATTTGTGGTGAATTTTCTCTATGTAATCTTAGGAAGATTGAGGATGCAATTGCTAAGTTTGTCTTTTAGTTCCAAAACATGTTTGATCATTGTGGCCACTCAATCAAAAAAATGCAAGAAAACATAAACAAACTTGAAGGAGGAGTTAAATAATTGGTAGACAATCAAATAGACTTAGCACACAATCAAGAAAAACTTAATGATAGGATGAACAAAACCTCTTCCACAATCATCCATAACCTAGATGAGAGCTCTAAGTTTGATTTGATTCACCTAAAGCATAAACACATCTACACTACATAACATTTGCATACATATTGCTTTGTTCATTTGATATATGATTGTATTACAAATATTCTTTTTGTAAATCTTTCAGTACTTAATGAAATCTCTCTTTTGCTTCCTTTATTTGTGCACATATTTGATATACTCTTGCTATTAATCTTATGTTGTCTCTATAAGCTTTATATTTGATATACTTTGTTTTTTGTTCCTTTTTTATAGAATAAAAAGAGAGAGAATTTTTTGAGTAAATTTGCCAAAGCTTTACTTGATTTCCATGGCTAAATCATTTCTTGAAAATACTTTAATGATTTAATGCTTTTAAAATTTTACAAAGGTTTTTTTTTAAGTAAGCATAA